CAGCCCGTCCACACTGTGACAGCCAGGGGCTGCCGTCCAGGGACAGCCTCGGGGTGGCTGAGGGTCGCCTGCATTTAGCAGACGGCAGGACTGGCTGGAACAGGTCAGTGCCCCGGGGGTGCACAGCTGCCCATGATGCGGCCCACCACCCTGCCCACCACCCTGCCCACCACCCTCCCACCACGCTGCCCACCACACTGTCCCACCACCCTGCCCACCACCCTGCCCACCACGCTGCCCACCACCCTGCCCACCACACTGCCCACCATGCTGCCCACTGCACTGCCACACACCAGGCCCTGGCCACCCACTCTGGGGCACCCCCAACCCGCTGCCCTCGGTGGCCGTGGACACACCTCAGGACTCCCTCGGTCCCCGGCGGGCTCGTACCAGCTTATCAGGGAACTCTGAGAAGGCTTGGCCGCAGGAAGGGAGGCAGAGAGTCCCCTCCGTCCGTCACTGGGTAAACTTCCGTGGCCTGGAGCGTGGCCCATCTCCTGCCGACCAGGCCGGAAGGGCTGGGGCTGGGTCTTGCCCTGGCCCAGAGACCCCAACCCGCCCCTTCTCGGGGAGGGTCCTGGAGGCACCAGGCAGGGGGTGCAGCCGCACTGCAGGCTGAGTCCGGGCTCCTGGGCCTCAGTCTTCTGGTGGGTGCAGATGGGCAGGGGTGCTGACCCGCAGCTCTGGGGAGGGGTGCGGCGGCAGGAGCACTCAGGGAGGAGAGAGCCCCTCTGTGGCTCAGGGCCCACCAGGAGCCGCCGACAGTGGGCAGGGTGCCATTGAGGCAGAGGCGGGTCCCCGTGGACAGAGTGCAGAGCCCACCCCCAGCACCCAGACGGCACGGCTGGCCCTCGGGCGTCTCTGCAGCGCGGTTGCACCAGCCGTGTCCCAGGTGTGCCCGTGCGGGGCAGCTGGACAGGTAGGGCCCACAGTGCCCGTCCCTGGAACCTGCAACCAAGGCCGGAGCACTGGCCGCCGGCCACCCACCCCCTGCTCTCACACGGGCCGAGCCGCAAAGGCTGGGACCAGGTGTGGGCACAATGGGCCTGGGATAGGACCAGCTCCCCGCTCCCCATCCCTCCCTGGAGGCCCCTGAGGCCAGAGGTCAAGGGTCACAGGTTCAGGTGCCAGCCACGGGGTGCATGGCGCCTCCTGGCCCACCCCGTCCAGGGCCGCCCGGGTGGGGGTGGAGATCTGCATCCTCTCCCCCCATACCCGAGGCTGGACGCCCCTCGGGAACCAGCAGCCCCAGGGGGTCCGAGGGCCCCAGATCCGCCCCTTCCCTTTGCACATGGCCCGAGCTGACCCTCGACCTCCGCCCACATGGCCCGAGCTGACCCTCGACCTCCGCGCTCCTGCTGCGGAGATGCCGGTGGGAGTTCTGTTTCTGGCGCTCCCGTTTGCAGGTCGGCGTTTGCTCGCCTTCCGTAGGTAGCTCAGGACCGTCCTTCCCCGGACGCGGTTTCGCCGGCAAACCCCTGAGGCCTTGGAAACCCCGAGAGTTTTGCGTGCTGTCTTCCAGCGTGAGCGGCAGTTTGCTGGGCGGAAGATTGCAGCTTCCGAGTTCTTTCCTTTTGGGACGTGAAGGACGCCGCCGCTTGTCCTGGCCCCAGTGTGCGGAGCCCCCCCACTCTCACTCCCCGCCCCCCAGCTGGGCTGCCTCGTGCTCAGGTTCCCGCACCTGCACCCACCTGTGTTCAGGGTCTCCCGCACCCCCCGCCAGTCCACGTCGAAGGGGGGAAGATCGTGGCCACAGACCCTCTTTGTGTCTGGCTTTCGTCTGAGATCCACGCTTGAGTGTCTGAGATTCCCGCCTTTTCTCGCCCGGCAGCCTCACCGCAGCCTGTGGATTTGCCCCTGCTGTGCGTGTGCGCCGACACCAAGGAATGTCGTGATTATTCCCGGTGTTGTAGGACTGACCGCGGCCCCCCCCCAGAGCTCACCTGTGGAGCCCCAGTGCCCAGCACCCCAGAAGGTGCCCGGGGTCTTCGCAGAGCTCTGGGTCAGACGCGGGCACTAGGGTGCGCCCTGGCCCGGCAGGACCGGCGGCCTTGCAGAGAGGGGGGCCTGGACCCAGACGCACGGGGCGGGGGCGCCCTGTGTAGGTGACAGTAGAGCTTGGGGACCCCCAGAGATGCCCGCCAGCCCCCCACAACCTCAAAAAGAACCACCCAGCGGCATCTAAACCCAGATTCCGGCCTCCAGGCCCGGAGATGGGACGCTCTGCTGTTTGGGGGCCCCAGGGGCACAGACACCCCGTTCCCGGTTGTCATGGTAAAGTCGCCCCACTGATGCCCACACGCCTGGTGGACGGAGCCTCTTCCCTCGTGAGAACCGGGGAGCAGAACCACTGGGTCCTGTAGCCCCAAAGGTTTCCAAAGTGGCTGTGCAAACGCCCAGCCCTGCCGGCAATGTCAGGGGCTCCCCACTGCTGGCACCGCTGAGGCCCCCACAGCACACGGGGTGCAGCCCCCACTCCCAGGTGCTGCGGCCCAGCAGGTATGGGGGCTGCTTGTCCCCCAGGGCCCGAGGTACCGGCCGTGGGGCTCTTGAGAGGCTTAGTCCTGGAACAGACTTGGCCACGCTCCCCGGCGTGGGGTCCCCCGGCCCAGGCGGGCACCCCCACCCTGGCCACATGGGGGGCCCTCCTGAGTGATCTGATTTCTGGGGTGCGCTGCAATGCGCCTTGGGGTACGGGGCTGTTGTCCCCTGCGGCTCTCTTAGCCGCCCACCTACTGCGTGGATGTGGGGGGCAAAGGCCCAACCTCCTGGCTGTCACAGGTCCTTATTAATCCAGCCCAGCGGGTGGCAAAGCCAGGGCCACCTGCCTGCGTGGCCAGGCCCGGGGAACCCCCACCCTGGAGTGTCCTGATAACACATCAACCTCCAGCTGCGCCCCCGTTCTGGGGGGCAGGGAGACAGGGAGAAAATGCGTGTGACAACCGGCCAGCCTGCACGGCCTGCCACATGGCGGCCACTCGTGGGCTCCCTGAAGCAGTGGAGGGGCCAGGCCACCCCAGGGGGAGCCCCACAGTATGTGAGACCCCAGGGCCTACCCCGGCCCACTCAGGGTGTCTGATCCTCGGGTCTGAGTCCCCCCCACCCACTGCGGTCCTGTCCCTGTTCCCAACCACAGACGGGTAGGGGCAGGGCGGGGTCCAGGTTTGTCACCGCACCCCTGAGTCCCAAGAGCCCCGCTGTGGGTGACCCGTTGGGCCTCCTGGGGGGCTCCGTGTGCTCCCGGACCCCAGGCCCACCCCACCTGGGTAAATATCCGGGAAACAGGGTCTGCGTTGTTGGTGATTGTTGGGGTGGCGGGCGGAGCAGTGTCCCGGGGCCTGTCCCTCGAGGACACTTCTTGGGACACCTCCTGTCATGGTGCTTGTGCCAGCAGAGGTCAGCAGGTGGGGACCCCAGGCCCAGCCTGTTGGGGCCAGTCTAGACCGCCCAGCCGGGGGCTGGAGGCTGGGGGCTGGAGGAAGGCTGTGTTTCCGGAAGGGTCTCCCAGAGGCTGAGAGGAGGGACGAGGGGCCCCGGCTGAGTGGACGGAGCTTCCGGAAGTCCTGGGTGGGGGGTCCGGGGGGCTCTAAGGAAGCCTGCCCCCTGAGCTTCCGGCCCTTTTCAAAACCAGGGGCGCTGGCTAGGTGCAGTGGCTCATGCCTGTAATCCTAGCACTCTGGGAGGCCGAGGCGGGAGGACTGCTCAAGGTCAGGAGTTCAAAACCAGCCTGAGTGGGACCCCATCTCTACCAAAAATAGAAAGAAATTACTTGACCAACTAAACATATATATATATAAAAATTCGCAGGCAAGGTGGTACATGCTGTAGTCCCAGCTACTCGGGGCTGAGCAGGAGGATCACTTGAGCCAGGAGTTGAGGTTGCTGTGAGCGGCTGCGCCACGGCACTCAGTCTAGCCTGGGCAACAAAGTGAGACTCTGTCTCAAAACCACACACACACACAACAACACAACACAAACACACACACACAACCAACCAGGGGTGCTGGCCGGGCGCAGTGGCTCACGCTGTAATTAGCACTTGGGAGGCCAAAGCGACGCGGGCTCTAAGGTCAGGTTCGGACCAGCCTGAGCAAGAGCGAGACCCATCTCTACTAAAAATAGAAAGAAATTAGATTGGCCACAGGCTATAGAGTGATATA